CCGTTATTACTAAAGATTTCAGACTCTAGTAAAGCCATGTATTGAGTTGGTATTTCAAAATCATTAGTAGATATTGGTTGAATTGTTTGGGGGGGCAAAGAGTTAGTTATATTGGTATTTGGACCTATTGAGTTCATTACTAATAAATCATTTCACGATAGTCTTCGCTGTTCTTTTTTTTCTAAGAACTTTTCGATAAAAGTAAATTCTGGATCAGACAATGTATAAGGTTGTGAAACTTTGATCGATTTAAGATCTTCAGGAAGAAAGTCTTCCGATATCTATCGAGTTCGAATATATTTACGAGTTTCATTTTTTGTAGAACAACAGGTCTCTGATTGAGTTTTGTGCTGGTGAATATATATTCAAAAAATTAATAAATGGTATTCCATATAACTTCTTATAAAGTTGGATAATAAAATTTTGAGGTGGATACATTTGATCCATTTTTCATCTCATAGCTCAGTGTTAAACAGGAAGCTCATTCAGTTTTCCTCTCCTCGCTAATAAGACAATCATGATTTAACGATCGCGTCCTCAATAACAATAGAACTAGAGAGGGAATACTCAGATCCTAGGCCTGCCTCGAAAGGCGAAAAGTACCCTAAGAAGACTATACTATAAATAATAGGGTTTACTTGTATCAAAATTAATTAACTTACTTTCAGAGAATCGTAGAAAATATCATCTCTTTCATCAGCCAGGTTAATATTGGATATGGAATTAGTATTATCTTCAACAACAGAAATATCAAGGTTTTCAAATTTGGCTTTTTTTATGGCACAAAGATCTTTTTTACGTAGATTTCTTTTAGAGGCTTTCGATAATAATGCAACGGATTTATTTTGGAACAACATAGTGCTTATACAGCAGGTAAGTAATTTTTATAAAGAAATTTTTTAAATATTTTAAGAAAAAAAAAGCAAAATTGGAATGGAACTTCATATTAAAGGAGGCCCTATTTATTGGCTCTATTCATTAGAGATTGCAATTTATTTTTATGCGTTTCAATACATAGCAATTTGCCACGAAGCAGTATGTAATATAAATGACTCAGTATTGCAATAATTTAAGTCAACTAATATTTTTATGTAGCACGATAATAATTAAATTGTTTACTAAATTCAGCACCACAATTATTGGACACGGCAAATTAACAATCGCACATTTTTTTATTCGGATTAGATTATTAATAACTTGTTGAAAGACGTATTTAAGCATGCTATTGCTATATTTAAGCCAGATCTACAAATTTAGAATAACCATTACTTATACATTATCACGAAGTGCAGAAGTGTAATGCTTTTTATCACATGATTTATTCTCTATGATAAAGAACTCTTGCAGATAACTTATAATGTGTAGCACAAGTAGAACTTGACTTGTGCTAAATAAGACAAAAAAAGTGATCTATTAGAATCTTAAATCTTTTTTGATTGGTATAATTTTTATTACCTCTACTTTTTACGACCCCGAGATATAATATCCCACCATACTATCATGTGATTTTGCGGTCCCATGGGACCGTCATATGTCTTCACAATAACGATAATGGCAGACCTTAATTTTACATAGGTTTATTATGAAAAAGCCAACAGCTGTTTATCTAGAATTTGCACGTTACTGTAATATCAAGTATTTATTATGACATACTAATATATAACTTAACGGTTTTTAAAAACTCGAATGATGTGGTAAAATCGAATTAATACTTGACGAAATACATATCATGATAATCCCTCTGATAATCCCAAAACATTACCACGACTACACTACGACAGTATAGCTTTTTTACTATAAAATTACCACGACTACACCACGACACTACCTAGATAAAAATTGGTCAAGATTTTAATAATAAATGAGACAGTAATAAAATTAGGCATATTGTGATTACTTTACCGCATAATTTTTCACAGTCGATTTTTGGTCTAAGTTACAGTAGTTTTATGATGTATATAAGTTTCATTCTCCAACGGCAACTAGAGGCCATTGGGATTAAAATTTTTATTTACTTATTGACTTCAAAGAAATACCTATGTATAAACGATAACGTGTAAATCTGTACATATAGATTATTTAGAATTTAAAGATCATAATACAAGCCTATAAAATTAAGAGCAACAGAAGATCCTTTGGATCGAGTCTTTGACTCGCCCAGTTCATACTAATTAATTCGTGAATGAATTGATCGATCACCAAACCTGAAATTAGTTTTATACACTTATCTAATTTTTATATATTACGCTGTTACAAAAAATCAGAGAGTCGGGTACATAAGTGCCATTGTTCTACAATAAGACTCGATCCTTTGGAGCATTGTTTAATGTGTGTATATTAATGAATTTTTAATGTAATTCTAGCCACTTACCTCTCCTTTCGATTTCTATTTCATATGAAATTTTGGACGTAATGTCCATCCTAGTTATTCAAAAAGAAAGTGGGTATGTATATGAAATTTTTTATTCTGGATTGCTTGGTCCGAGATGTGTCAAAAATCATATTTCTTTAGAATGTTATACCGTGATTATCTGACGATTAATTTGGTTATGTCAGCTAATGATATACTAATCATTGTTGAGTCGTGGTTGAGTTGCAGTATTTTTTTTTCTATATAATTCTATGAAAAACAGGTGTATCGCTGTAGAGTCATGGTTGAGTCGCGTTAGAAACTTAGTTATGTGGGCTAATGATCAATTACGCTTATTAATCGCCGAAAGAAGAAATAGAAATGTAGAGTACTACGAAATCCCTGGAAGTAGCAGGGTGGATTTTTGGAATAATATTGCGGATATAATTAATAGGAGATTTAGTACCAACTATACGGGATATCAATGCAAGGGTAAATTTCAAAATCTTGTAAGGGATCACACTGTAAGTATTTCTACCGAAGGCACTTATTGACAGATTGAACCATAATTAGGTTGTGATAGTGCCTAACGATTTTCTTGATCCTTGTTAGTTGATGTGCCAATATATGACAGGAAATCATGCAGGGCGTAGAACCAGAACCGGAGTACAATACTTTGAGGAATTCCACTCACGTTTTTGGGAAAGACGGGTAAGGTTCTACATTAATCTCGAACATTCGTCTGTCTTTGCTGTAGGTGTCTTTGAAATAGAAACAAATTATTAATTTGTTAATTATGTATAAAAAAAATCTAGAAACACAGTTTGATCAAATATATAACGTAAACGCATCCTCGAGAAGAAGAAAAGAAAGATGGCGAAACCGCACTCCATCACCAACCTACGAAGAAGTTTCATCAATGATAAATATAAGTAGCCGTGAATCTCCCGCCGGTCAAAGGGATCAATCTACATCCTCGACCCGGAGAAATCCTACCAGAAGAGATGAAACTACTAATCGAGAAAATGTAAGTAATGTAAATGATGCGGATGGGAATTCAGGCCATAACACTAATGATATAAGTAGAAATTTAAATAATGCGACATACTTATCTTTACCTCATTTGGCAAATACTACCTCAACCTCTAATATATCTGCATCACAAAATGATAGTGATATTAGTATGCTCGATATAGAAGGTAGCCAACCTTCCTGTATGAAAAATATAAATGAAGAGAATTAGCCTCATATTTGTTTTTAGGTGTGGATTCCCTAAGCCATAAATATTCCTACATCTTATAATAGTTGATTCAGCCGTGTATAAAACATCGTGTGGATATTCGCCCAATATGCGATTTTACGTATAAAAATAAATCGTACTGTTATAGTATTAAGATATTGCATAAAAAATAAAGTTTGTGATACAAGTTACTTGAATAGTTTGTACCACATTTCTACAGAATTAATTCTCACGGTTGATTTATAATGAATACAATATTTAGAAAACCTTATTTTATACAATCCCGCGATAAGAATGGGACTTGCCTTAGAGGGGCGCTTCTTTGAAGCTAAAAAGGCTATAAGGGTAATATATATAATGTTTTTAATCAGTAGTTTTATCAAAATTCATATGTTATAGGGATTTGAAATTTTACAGATCATCGAGATCGTTGACTTTTTTCACTTCGTAGTACCGATTGTTGAATCTAAGGGGTGTTAATTTACCAGAAAAAATGACAAAATAAATCAGTGTTTGGAACTTATAACCGAGCGAAGTTGCTTTATTCTGCTTTATTCTGTTATTTACTTACTAATCGTGTACTTTTTTTTTCTGGTAGGTTCTAAGATCTAACAAATGAACAATATAAAATAAGCAAGTTCCCACCTGTAAGATAAGTTAGCAATAATGTTACTTTTTGCTTATATATATTTTACTTGGTTCACTCACCCGTAATTTATTTTTAAAGTAATTTGCTATTTTTTTTTAATGGAGACTGAACCTGAATTTTTGCTTACTTTGTTTTTTGTATTTAGATATGAAAAATGAGCAGTAACAAAAAAACCACCACCTCTAAGAACAAGAAAAATAAGACCCCCAACTATTCTAAATCAAAACGACAATACAAGTCAAAAGAATTTTTATCTTATGATGAGACCTGGGGAAAAATGTCAAAAGAAAACTTAGAGCATGATAGGGACAATGATGATAATGATTGGTTAAATCCTGGTCAGCGGGAGAAAATGTTAGATCAAATGTAAACCCCACCAACCTAACCCGTTAAGAGTATTTTTTATTATATAATAAATATATATTATTTGTATATTATCATTCCGGCAATAATTATTATAAAATAAAGAGAGGGGGGTCCTGTGCCCTTGACATTTTTTATTTTTATATACACCTGATCAAAACTGTAATATATAACTAAAGTGAATTATTTTTCTACAGAATGAATTTTTATTTGAAGAATTAGTATTACGTCATTATTAATATGCGCGAATTGAATAACGATGTTCTGATTTTGTATAAGTTTCACCGGTATTTAAATCATAATAATAACCTTCATCGTCATTAGAAAAACCACAGAAGCTCCCATCGTCCTTATCATCATCTTCGTTGTTGTCATCGGAAAAATCTTCATCATCGTAATCATAGTTGGAATCTTCATCATCATCTGTATCTTGACTTCTGATTCATCAAAATCTCGATCATTACTTAACTTATCTCCCGAATTAGAAGTGTGAGACAATAGGATAGAGGAAGTGATTGTAGTAGTTACCTTTGTTTCTGAAAATTCTGAATCTTTATTTTCTTTTTTGCAAGAAATTTGCTGATCACTTCCTGAACTCGGTTCAGAGAATTCAGATTTTAGGGCGGATTCTATCTTAATACTATAATCAAATGGTAGTTATCTATAATATATTGAATATTTTTGTTTGTCATTTTTGAGATACTATCAGCGGAAAAGGAATGTATTTGATAAATTTTATCCATACCTATTGCACTGAAAAGTTTGTAGAGCTTTTTAGCCTTTTCGATTCTCTTCCATAAAAGTGTATCAGAAATATTTGCAGGAAGCTGAGCACGAACTTCCTTATTTAAAATTTTACTAACTGCATTAGATTCCGAATCAACTTGTTTTTCTGATGCTAATTCATTACGTCTTTGAATGAGAGCTTTACCAAAATTACAATAACATAAGATTGCTTCTTGGATTTTACGGTCAGCGAGAATTATAGCATTACAAAGTTTTTCGTATAAAAATGTGAAGCTATTATTGCTGGGTTGAGATTCTGTTTCATTCAAAGTTGTAGGTATCACATCATTGTCTGCATTACTAATAGACGAGCTAGAGTTTTTAGAAACTTCTGTCATGAATTTCTGTACTTTATTTTTACTAGATTGTAAAATATCTTTATCATATGATAAAGGATCTTGAGATCCAAGCTTCTTTTCTTTATTTTTCTCTCTTATTATATTACTAACCCTTTCCTTTTCTTTTACGTCTAGAAATTCATCGATCACTTTATCCTCTGAAGATTTGTTTTCTATACAAATTGGTGATGTGGAGTATTGATGTGAACCAGCCTCCAGCTGAATCTTTGTCTCTTGACATACATTAGAATTTGAAGTATCGTCAGTTATATCAAATACGGGAGTGTCTTCACGATTATGATTTGTTTCAGGGAGTATAGAAGAATGGTTATCCTTTACTTGGTATATATCAGAATCAGATGTTCGATACTCTATATCATCAGATGCATTATCAGTATATCCATTGCCCCGTTTTGCAAGCTTTGCTCCTTGATTAGTAAAACATCATGTTTCAGTTTAGTGATAAGGCCAGTTTTTCCCCTACCTCTCTGCTCTAGATTCAAGAATCTGGCTTCAACCTCTTCTTTGTCTTGTTTTAATTTTTCATTCTCAGCTTCAACTTTGATATTCTTAGCTTCAAGCTCAGCATACTTCTTTCTAAGTTCGCTAATCTCAACTGTAAGTTTGGTATTTAATTCTCTTAGTGAAACAATTGTATATTGTGTATCTGCCATCGTTTTATATAAGGTGCAGACATATTCAATTCTTTATCATAGGGATACAAATCACGTGATAAAAATCCCTGAACTAAGTTCAGGAAGTGTAAAATGTCAAGAAAATTCTCGATAACATATACCCAATGATATTAATGTATCCAGATCAATCTCAAAAATACACTTGTAAAAATGATAAAATAAATTCACGAAATACACATGCAAAAGTAAACATGATTATATATGCGAAAAATTGAGCCACCAGGGCCAACTTTATTGATATAGAAAAATAAAATTAACATACAAGATAAAAATATACATGCAAAGGTAAACTGATTATGCTTTATTGATGCAGAAACATATAAGTATTTTACAGAATAGTAATATAAAACGCATTGACTAGCT